ATGGTAATCGGATGAGATTTACTTAGAACAAGGGATCAAGTTAAGGTGATCCATGCACTTCATGCAATAAAATAATACTGGTTAGAATATATGCAAGTTGACGTCACAAAAAAAAAAAAGACATGAAACTTGCCAGAATAAAAATAGTGTCAACCAAAAAGGAAAATAAAAACATTCCGATATATTCTTATTCGTATATACAACAAAAAGAACAAAAGGAGCAATCAAGACGAGAGCAACGTTTAGAAGAGGAGTTAATGCGACTAGATACATTTTGGCGTATTATGTGATTTTATGGGCCACCCTTTTATTTTAATTTTTACTACTTTATTGATTATTTATTTAAACCAAATAGATAATGGAAATTTTGCCAAATGTACCACAATTTTAGAAAATCCTAGCAAATGTACCACATTGCAAATCAATTTAGCATCCATATCACTTTTAGTATTTGTGTGGTAGAGGTTGGACGATTTTACCCTTCTGCCTGTGTCAGGAATGTGTCAAGGGAAGGAGCTACAGTCAGACGCTTGTTGGGAAACAGGGAGCGACTGCATTAAATAGATGTCTCCAGATCTTGTCCCCGATTGAAAATTCTCTGTTGCGTCTAGATCTTGTCCCCGATTTCATCAGCTTGCTCTATTATCATGAATCCCAGATGATATGGTTTTACCAGCCTGCAGAGATCTGGATTTACTCAGTGACAACATCTCTTAATTATCCATCGCAGATGATGTAGTTTTACCAGCTAGCTCTCTAGATTAACTCGGGGACAACTTGATCTTTATTTTATTCTGCCAGAGAGCCGAAGACGAAGATCTGGATTTACTCGGGGACAACTTTGTTTTACCAGCCAGAGGGAAGAAAACGGTTACCAATGCGCCAGAAGAGAGAAAAAGGACGGCATAAATTTCGGAAGGTCACATCAATCGCAGTTCCTTATCTCACCAATTGGAGGGTAAAATGGTCATTTTACAAACACAATGTGGTATGAATGATAATTAGGATTCAAATGTGGTAGAAGTGATAACTTTTGTGGAAAAAGTGGTATCCAATCTAATTTTCCCATAGATAATTGTGTATACAAATTTTTTACCTAAGAAGATGAAAAGCTACAAACTTCAGTTACTTGTCTAAAAAGAACGTAGCTACTAATGTTGGAGCTCGAACAATTTAGAAGGAAGCCATACACAGTATCGTGCCGTGAAGTAGGGCTGGGCAAAATATTCGTTAGATTCGCTTCGATCCGTTATTCGGTTCGATTTGATTCGAAAAATCTGGATATCCGTAGTTTTACGAGGCAAATCAAATACTAAAAATTATTATTCGTTAAAAGCGGAGCAAATAACAAATACTAAAATTTAAACAAGCGGATATCCGCTCCGATCCGATATACATGAACATATGTATATATGTATATAGATAATTACAGATATATATTTATAATCTTACTATTTTTATATGTAAGTTTTATAATTTTATGTTCATCAAATTAATTATTTAACTATTATTTTTAACAATTAAGAAGAAATATTTTTTTCAATGAAATATAACTTATTTTGGATTATTTTTAGATTATTATAATTTTTATAATTGATTTTTTGAAATATACTGAACAAATCGAATATCCGGTAAATAGCTCAGATTTTAACGGATATCCGGACAGCCGGATATTCGGTTATTTATGAAGCAAATACGAATCAGAAAACCAATTATTTTGACAGAACAAATCGAATCACAAATACTATCAAAATCCCAGATATCCGCTTCGTGCCCACCCCTACCGCGAAGTGATTACATTTTGTTACTGTTTACGAAAAACTACGGTTCATGTATGCATTATGCAATTCTGTTTTTGCGGAAAACTCAAAAATTTGGGAAAATAACATACATGTTAATTTTACCAGCCAATACAGTTATATTATAAAAATTATTTTAACCACTCAAATTGCTAAAAAAATAATCAAACTTTGACATTTTTTATTGTTAAATAAAAATACTTTTTTCTTTTAATATTTATTATACCCAAATACACTTATTCTGGTTTCCGTTTAATATTTCTTCAACCCCCATGGTTTTACATAAACTACACTGTGTTCACTTAATATCGTTTACTTTACAGTAACTGCACTTATTTTATACATTTTTCTCGTTATAAAGTCATCATATAAATATATATACACAATAACATTCTAATAATATATAAACGCGAATTTCGAAATGGTTTCACTTGAGCTTAACCTTTTCCACATGATTAATAGCTTCTGAATTCTTAGGATCTAGATAATGTGATATTTGCGATATTTCCTACTTGCTGTACATATTTCGGCAGTTTAAGAATGTAATACACAATTCCGCAACTATTTTCTTTGTACTATAGTTTGCTAAATAGCATATTGATATTCCTCAACCAAAGGATAAAGCGGTGGAAATCCATCAAATGGCGATCTCATCTTATGATTGTAGTGATAACCTAGGAACATAACATGCATTAATAGGGAAAAAAAAACATAGTTACTTGAAGCATCCTAGTTCGATATTAACTTAGGATCTAAATTTTATATTAGGGTTCTTGAGTTTCTAACCAAAAATCAAGTTGAATATGTGTTTCTACTTTATATACTACTCTAAATCCCAACATATTTTACTAGGTGAAATTTCTAGTGGCTGTGATCTTGTTGCATGAGACTACTATATATTATGTTTTCTACATGCTTCTGTATATTTCATTAAAATATCCAACTATCAGAAATTTGTCAATCCTAACATCAATCCCTTTGAATCTAGACATCTATAGCTCTTTCGTTTTTGCGATTTTCTTCATTTACATATTTGTACATTTGTAGAAATTCTGTTTGTCCATGCTATAATCATTCTATTAAAATTATTGTTATCCGTTACACAAAAAGTCTAATGTCAAAAAAAATATTAAATGCTTAGAGGTGACATATTATTTTGTTGAATATAAGATGTTTAAGAGTTATATTCGATTAGTCTAAGTTGACACTCAAAAGAATTAGAGATAAGAACAAGCTAGAAAATTGAAGAAAACCTGCGAAAAAAATTCACTTCAAATCTCTAACGTGAGAATGACTTCAAGTTGAGTTTACATTCACAACAAGAAGCTTAAATACATTAGACCCCATCCAAAGATAGCTGTGGCTGGAAATGCATGGACTATAAAATTGTGGTCCAGTCGAGTGATTTAGATATTCTTTAAATTTTTGGATGTATTATGTACATTTACTTTGATTGCAAGTCAAATTAAATCCAATGAACAAAATGAATGCATTACATATACTAGAAAGATCATCTAGCTATTTAAGCCGTTTAACATGTCTTTCACGTATAGTCACACTATCTAGTTACATATTAATGTGTTATATGAAAAAGACTAATGGTGTTAATACCTTTATTTTCTTGTATCAACAACATATATTATACGAGTTAAAATACATGCTTGAATACGTACAGTAACACACTAGTACACTAGATTAGATGTGCTCCCGGTCTAATACGATTGAATTGTTAAAATAAATTTATTTGATAATTAACTAAATGAACAAAAAAGAGTGCAAATGTTACGATCCACATACTTCAAGTAATATATATTGAATTAATCAATAGAAATAAAAATTATCACTTAGTTACAGAAATTTAGATTTCTTGTACCAAAATCATTTATCGTCTTGATACAATTTATATAATGTATTTCATATTTTAATGTTGTGACTAAATTCTTCTTGTTGATAGATTTTGTCATATGGTATCGACTCTATCTCCGGAGTAAAATACTTATGGCTTCTTCTTCGATATAGTTAAGCTTTATTTCGTTTGTTTTTTTGTGTTAAGTTGAGTTGATCTTAAAGAAAAGTGATATGAAAGTATTGGGGCATGTTTCGTATAGATTATTGTATCACAAATCATTCTTATATGACAAATATATGTAGATTATATATTATATGATGCGTATCGCATTCGCATATCAACACAACTTTTGTATATATACATGTGCTTTTACATTTTATTTTTTGGTTGGTTATTAACATAAATAAATAAGTTCTTAACAAAAGAAAATATTTTCTCAAATCTGATATTGTGCAAATCGGGTTAAACACTTAAACTAATGATGAAAATCCACATTTTTGTTCATATAGCGGAGTCTCTAATGATGTAACGATCACTAGCAGAATAACAAAACAAAAATTGAAAACAAAATTTGGCACATGTCAATAATTCGTGTAAGTAGGATAATTTATTATATTTATTATTTTAAATAAAGTAATTGTTGGTCCATATTCAACCATAAAATAAGTGTTGGTCCATAGCGAAGGGCCCAATCGAATCTTCGGCAAATAAGGAAAGGAAAGCATGCATTTCTTTCATATATGTACTCATCTTTTTCAGCTTTTCTTTCCAAAGCTATGTTTCAAATCAATTTGATGTACAGTTTCTCGATCTTAGCTTAATTCTTTCTATCCCTCAAATAGATTTTATGAACTCATGCATAGCCAAATCAACATTTACCTCAAAACAAATATATTTTCACTATTACTTATTTCACTGATATTTAAACAAGTTTATGTAACTAAATTTATAGTACCTAATTTCAAAAACCAATAACGTTATATAAAATAGTGTGGATGGAATTACATGATATTTAAATATAAAAAAAATACAGCGCAATAAAATACTCCTTTTATTTACCCAAAAAAATATGTGCAAAATGCCACAATATGGTTATTTAGTGCTATTTCTATAAATTAGAACAATTTATATCAACAATATATGTATTATATATATTTAATAAAAATGTAAAGCAAAAAACTTAAAATATAAATTATGTATGTGAGAGCTCCCCACCTCCACAACATCACCACCACCACCCACTAACATTAATCACATGAACTTTAAAACATGCACTGATGCACAATAAGATAAAGCTGAATTCCTAATCTAAAGACTCAACCAAACTCCTCCTCTGTCCTCCATTCAACTAATTAAGCAAAAGGAGTATTTGAATTAAGGCTTTCATTACTTCAACTTCAACTACCATATTTAATATTTATCCAATTTACAAAAAAAGAAAGAAAGCAAAACGTACATAAAACCAAATAAATATATACAAAGGTGGACCATGATCTAATATTTCCTTCCTAAAAATCCAAAAATCTTTGACCTAACATTGATCTAACCCTGCTTTCTAACTCCCATATGTCACAATTAAAGAGTTAGGAAGTACCTTACATAAATGCATCACTACTAACTCTCTACTTTTGAAAACCCAATCCAAACTTTGCCAAATCGAAACCCGAATCTCAGGTTAACAATGTTGAGGACGAGCCAAGGGTAAGAAATTTCGTTGAACTTCAATATCCTCAGCGATCTTTTTGGCATCAATGGCTGCACCAAGTAATCCAAGCTTTGTGAAACCGACTGCATACAATCCGCTTTCGCCTTTCCAACCGTTGGGAAAGGGTTTATACGGAAATCCATCTTTCTCACAAAACATGTTCATTCCCTAAAAAAACATTGAAGTCAAACCAAGTAAATTCAACTATTGAAACGTAAAATGGGTTGTGATGTGTCAATATCAAGGAATTAAGAATAATGAAGATGTAGACGCATCATCGCTCATGGTACACACCTTTAGCCACATGGGTACGTTGCTTTTGTAACCCGTAGCGAGTATAATCGCGTCGAAGTTATCTACTCTCCCATCAACAAACTCTGCCGAATGATGCATTACTCGTTTTAACTCCGGATACACCTAAAAGTCAAGAAAAGATATATTCAATATCCCATAATCTCACGGTTTTGTAATCTAGATTGTATTAAAAAAACATAATTAATGAACCTTGATGTGTCCACTTCGGATTTTGGCCAGAGTACCAACGTCCAAAACAGGAGTCTTTCCGCACTTGATCTTGCGTTCAAGAGGGCCAAGTTTTGGTCGAACTAACCCTAACCGATCCGTGTCACCAAGAACCAACCGAGACATACGTAACAAGAACCGGTCGACCACTTGCACTGGAAACCATTTTAGCAGGCTCGTGGATATCCCGAAAGTCGATATACCTAGCATTTCTTGAGGTAATACGTGCACCTATAGTATTAGCCAAAAAATAAATTAGCCTAAATTTTAATTACCCATACAATTACAAGAGATCTGAATCAATATAATCACATGCGTACTTTCTTGGAAAGTGAAAAGAATAAAAGAGTAAACACTTTGTTACTTGATCAAATAGTGATCAATATTGTTAGTGTTAAACCCTAAAGAGTACCAAATTACGTAGAGCATGAAAATGCAAGAACTATACTAAACATCTAATATTATTCTTGCATACATTAAAGAGAAGAGCTTTGTTTATCCTCACCGAGTCACGAACCACAAGAGAAGGATGAGCATTGAAGTTGTAAAGATCTAAGCAAACTTCCATCCCGGAGTTTCCACATCCCACGACCAAAACCTTCTTCTCACTAAACATTTCACCACTCTTATATGAGCTTGTGTGGAGGATTGGTCCACCAAAATCCGCTATTCCATCAATCTCCGGCATCACCTCCTCGGCATTCTCCCCGGTGGCCACAACAAGCCACCGTGATAAATACTCCATTGTCTCATCTTTCTTTCCTACGGTAGTCCTCACCCTCCATAACCCACGCTGCCTATCAAACTTTGCCTCCTCCACGGTCTGGTTAAAAACGGGCTTTAGGTCAAAATGTTCCGCGTAGGACTCAAGATATTGGACAAACTGTTGCTTTGTAGGGTAAGTAGGGTAGCTTGAAGGAAAAGGCATCAAGGGAAGCTCACAGAAATGTTTAGGTAGATGAAGTCGGAGACGATCATATGTTTTGAGCTGCCATAGTGAAGCTATGCAAGTGGAACGTTCTAGAATCAAACTAGGGATGTCTCTCGACTTCAAACATGCCGCTGTGGCCAGTCCCGACGGTCCGGAACCGACAATGATTGGTCCGGGAATCATTAAGAACCTAGTTTCCTCCACGTACGGATCATGGACTCTCTTGCCTAACGTTTCTGTTACAAACTCCATAGAAGAGAGAGAGGAGAAAAAAGAGAGAAAGAGATCTGAAGATATGCAAGAAGTGAAGTAGGAGACTGATATCAGATTAGGTTTTTAAACCCATGTGGTAAAAAAAAATTATACTCTCTTTTGTGACTCATGGATAATTATGTCCCGAGAATAAGGGTGAAAAGAGAGAATGAGTTTCATTGATCTTATCTACAAAAAGAATTAAGAAGAATATAAACCAAATAGATAAGAAGAAATTAAGATCGGATATTCCCTATAGATCAGGGTAAATCTAAGGATGAAATATTATTTTTTTAAACTCAAAAGATTTTGTAGTATTTTTTATAAGAAAATCTCTCAAGAATTGAGATTTCTAACAGGGATTTCGGATTTTGAAGAAGAGGTTTTGCGGTTCTGAAACAAACACTTGGGGGGAGAGAAGCAACTCTTTATAAGAGTTAAGAAAAAAAAAAAGATGAGATGGCGATGGACACATGACATAATTGGGGAGAGATATATGTCTATTTGTAATACGTGTATATATAGGTGGATAGGTAGTGGGCATGGGTATGTTATGTTTAATTCTATTTAATTACGATACTTTATATCGATTATATTATCGGCTATTGCCTATTGGGATTTGATAACGAACCATTAACTAAACGATTATACTTTTCTTTCCTTTTTAGGTATAAAAATATCTCACCTTTTATATATATATATATATATATATATTGTTTTGCAGTATTATCAAAAGATACCAAATTTAGTCAACCGATTGATACAAAAGGCCCAGGTTAGAAAATATTTTAAAGCAATAAACCCACCAAAGAACCCAACTTGAAGAAGAAAAAAAAGATTTCATAAAATCCTCGGTGTATAAAAGACAAAGTTTCAACGTAACTAGTTGAGTGCATTAGTGTAAATGGTTAATCCAAGAATTAGCTAATTGTGAAGTAAATGGTTAGATGAAAATCTTAGTGGGTCGCGAGAAAAGCAATGATTTAATTATTAGGGATAATATTATCCCACATTGGAAAGAACAAAGGATCTTGACTAGTATATAAGATATATGGGCTTCTCCACCCAATTGGTTTTAAATTAGAAGCCCATATTCTAATATTAATTAGTTGGATATATAGTACTATGCTAGTTTGGAATGGAAGTTAATTAGGACGGATCAAAGTAAGGTATGAGGATCAAAAGAAACAAATCTGGAAAACGAATATCCTCAGCATCACCACAATGAGGAAACACCCACAACAAAGTATTGTGAGACATGATGGAAAACATGAAACTAAAAGTGTTTTCGTGTGCCCCCACAAAGTTTGGAGAATCTTTTGCCATCGATAGATTTTGCATTTCTCGAGTGTCGTCCATATAATCAAAGCTGCAATTAATATGTTCTACAGCTCCTTCAAAGTTACATTTCCACTGGTGCGCATTTAAAGTTGTAACGTCCAATTGTAAACTCCAAGAGTGGTCAATACTTTTGTTTCTCCTTTTATAACCTTTTTATCAATTATTTTTTGCTAATAAAGATAAACCGGTAAAAATATAACTATACCAAAATTCAACCATTTAAAGTTTTTTTTTTTTGTTTTCTTTTTGGTTTTACGTCCAAAGAAAAGTTGGTAAAGTTTTTGTTAAACCCGAGTTCTTTTTTTTTTTTGATCAACAAATCTGAGTTCTAGTTTGAAACTAACAAACCTTAAGGCAAAAAGGACATTTGTATATTACAAACAAAATGACCATTGAACTTACATTTTAACGGATTTATGAATGGTCAAGGAACATATGTAAAACTCTATTTCTGCCCTTATTTTTCATTAAATATCATGAGTGACGATAGTACACATCATGTGATATGAACTATAACCTATCATTGATCATATTGAAAAGAGAATATATATGTTATCACTGTGCAGTCAACTTGGTGTACTATGATTCCCATCTCTTACCACTCATCTCACAATGTGTTACTGTGATCAATTCAACTTTTGCTTGTATCGCATATCATGGTCATAGTGTATAGTAATTAGTACATTACGATACTATTCAATTCCTTCGATAATAACTTACCAAATATATATATGCGTAGGTTACATAAGATTCTTTGCGATCATTAGTTATATATATTCTTTTGGCTTCTGCATTTTCCTATTGGTGCAACTCTTACCTTGGTAGAAGCAAAAATAACACCAACGACTATATTAATTGTATGTAATCGATTATTTATTAATTTACTAGTTAATCATTTTTACATCATGTTTCTATAATATATAATATTACGATTATAATTTTGTTTGGTTACTTAATTTTAAAATATAGTATGTATATTTTTCGTTGGCGAACTTTAAATGTTTGCCCCTAGCATATACAAACTTTTGAAATCTATAGCCGCAAAGCACACGAACGTCGTGATCTACATGGACTATGATTAATTATATGAAAACTATTTATGTTTACCTGTATGATACTATATAGGCCCATACTCTTGTAAGAAAATTGTCTATTATATAGTCGAAACATTGGAACTATTACACTACATGAGGATTTACAGAACATGATACATAAAACAGAGCACTTAACAGTGATATTAACAGTGTTACTTGTATATAACGGAATTGATAGTTAGACGTTAAACATACATGTAAATGCCTATATATACTGTTGTACAGATCAACATTATCTAAAATGAGAATATCAGAAAGTTTATTAAACTCTAATATGGTATCAGAGCAATAAATCGTTCTCATTCAAAAAGTTGTTGTGTTTTCCGGGAAAATCAACATTTTCCGGGAAAATTTTTCTTTCTTCTTCGATTTCTTCTTAGGCGATTTCATTTCAGCTTGTCGTGTTCATCTTTCTTCGTTCCGATCATTGTTATGGCGAAGAAAGGAACCAAGCAGCTCAGGAATCGACCTTCTCCTCAGGATTCTGGTGATGAATCACCGATTGTTACTCGATCTTCTCATGTTGAGAAATCAGCTCCAGGATCTTCGTTGAATATGTTACCGGCGAACTCAGATTCGATTGATAGCCATCATAATCCATTTTACCTCCATTCTAGCGATCATCCCGGTATGTCTATTGTTTCTGAAACTCTCACTGGTGATAATTACAACTCCTGGATTGTTACTATGCGAACTAGTCTAGAGGCTAAGAATAAGATCAGTTTTGTGGATGGATCTCTACCTAGACCATCGGAATCTGATCCTCTATATAAGATCTGGACTAGATGTAATTCAATGGTCAAAGCTTGGATCCTAAATGTTGTTTCAAAGCAAATCTATGCTAGTATACTCTATTTTCAAGATGCAGCAGGAATTTGGGAGGATTTACAGAGACGTTATCATAAGAGTAATCTCCCTCAGATCTATAATTTGGAGCAAGAGATAAGTTCTCTTCGTCAAGGTGCTATGTCTCTCTCTGAGTATTACACCAAGAAGATCACTCTTTGGGAACGCCTTGCTTGTACTAAGAATCTAATGGAAAATGGTGGATGTCGTTGTTCTCAAGTGTTGAAACTGTTGGAAGATCATGAAACAACTCGTATCACTCAGTTTCTTATGGGTCTCAATGATGATTTTGCTAATATCAGAGGTCAGATCTTGAACATGAAGCCTCGACCTAGTCTCTCTGATATGTACAATATGCTTGAATCTGATGAGTCTCAACGACAACGTACCATTACTAATCCCAATCCTTCTGCGTTTCAAGTTAAAGCTCAGATTGGCAATTCTCAACAACATGTTTTCCAAAAGAATCGTGCTATGTGCACTCATTGTGGAATGTCTGGTCACACTGCTGACAAGTGCTATAAGGTCATTGGTTATCCTGTTGGTTGGAAACCAAAGAGCCAACGCACAAACTCAAACCAACGTTTCATACCTGCTTCTACCAACTTAGCTATCACTGATTCTGTCTCAGATATTGACAAAGGTGTTGCTCTCTCTAATGATCAAATTCAACATTTGGTTTCTTACCTGAGTTCGAAGTTGCAGCCTCAGCATTCAACAGCTACACATGCTACTATAACTGAGATTCCTGCAGAAGCTTCAACCTCAGGAGTCAAGCCTACTATATGTCAATTCACTGGTATCTCTCTTCCATCCATTTTTTGTTCCATGACAAGTGAGAATGACTCATATTATTATTCCTTATCTGCTAAGGTTGATAACATGGATACTTGGGTTATTGATACTGGTGCTACTCACCATGTCACTTATAATAAGGATCTCTTTTAACAGATGATTCCTATTCTTGACACTACAGTGAAGCTTCCTAATGGTATTGGTGTGAGAATTGATGGTTTGGGAACTATTAAACTCAATGAAAACATTATTCTCACTAATGTTTTGTTCATTCCTCAATTTAAGTTCCATTTGCTCAGTGTGAGTTCATTGACAACTCAGATTTCTTGTGGTTTGTGGTTTGATTCTCATGGTTGTGAAATTCAGGATCTTACACGGGGATTGATCATTGGCAAGGGTAGTTTGCACAACAAGCTCTATTTCTTGGACCTGCAATATCATCCATCAGAACAAATTCCACTGACTGTTTGTGCTACCATCACAGTTTCTTCACACTTATGGCATCAAAGACTGGGTCACCCATCATATCAAAAGCTACAATCTCTTTCTGGTTTATTGTCTGTATCAGTTTCTAAGGCTTTAACTCCAGAGGAGAATCATTGTAAGATTTGTCATCTTGCAAAACAAAGGAAGTTACCTTTTGTATCTCGGAATAATAAGGTTAATAAAGCTTTTGATTTGATTCATATTGACACCTGGGGTCCCTTTGCTGTTACTTCTCATGATGGTTTTCGCTATTTTCTGACAATTGTTGATGATTACACAAGAGCTACATGGATTTATCTTCTCAGAAATAAGTCAGAGGCAACTACAGTATTACCTGGTTTTGTTTCAATGATTGAAACACAGTTTAATACAAAGATAAAGGGAGTTCGTTCTGATAATGCTCCAGAGTTTAACTTTACTCAATTTTACAAAGAAAAGGGGATTCTTGCATATCATTCTTGTCCAGAGACTCCTCAACAAAACTCAGTGATTGAACGGAAGCATCAGCATCTTCTTAATGTCGCCAGAGCACTTATGTTTCAGTCACACCTTCCTCTTGAATATTGGAATGAATGTGTATTGACAGCAGCTTTTCTCATCAATAGACTTCCTACTGAGCATCTCTCTAATAAATCACCTTTTGAGCTATTGATGCAGACTCCTGCAGATTATAGTGCTTTGAAGAGTTTTGGATGTTTGGCTTATGCTTCTACTTCTTCCCATCAACAGCACAAATTTGCTCCAAGGGCTAGAGCATGTGTCTTTATAGGCTATCCTACTGGTTTAAAGGGCTATAAACTATTGGATATAGAAACACATGCAGTTTTCATATCAAGGCATGTTGTTTTTCATGAAGAGTTATTCCCTTTGGTCAGTGGAGATATGTCTCAGCAAATTCAGAAACTGTTTCCTATTGTGACAGAGATTGTGCATGATTTAGTAGTAGGAGATTCTGCTATCATCACAGAGTCACATAAGGATTCAGAGCAACATAGTGATATCATTGGTAGTTCTGCAGTAGGAGATTCTGCGTCTATCAAAGGTTCACTTGAGCAAGAGCAACATAGTGACAGAGTTGGTAGCTCTGCAGTAGGAGATTCTGCACCTATTAACAAATCACTTGAGCTCAACCTGGATTCCAAGTCTCAGCGAGTGATCGTTAGTGATTCTTCAGTAGGAGATTCTGAGAACACTACAAACATTCCTGAGCTGGATCCACTGAATACAATGACTGAAGAAGATTCACTCATTGTTAATGCTGATAATAATGATGACAGTGGGGTAGATATGGTTATTGATCTCACAAGAAAATCAAAGCCACCTGCTTATTTGCAGGATTACCACTGTTACTTCATGAGTTGTGATATTCCTTATCCACTCTGCAATTATTTGTCTTATGACAGGATTTCAGGTCCTTATTTATTCTTTCTCACGGTGATCACTAGAGAATTTGAGCCTGCTACATACAATGAGGCCAAGAAACATCTAGTTTGGATTAATGCCATGGGAGAAGAAACAAATGCCTTGGAATCAACAAATACTTGGTCCATTTGCTCTCTTCCTGCAGCCAAGCATGTTATTGGATGCAAATGGGTTTATAAAGTCAAATATCATTCAGATGGTACCTTTGAAAGACACAAGGCTCGACTCGTTGCTAAAGGCTATACACAAAAGGAAGGATTGGATTATGTTGACACATATGCACCTGTTGCTAAACTCACTTCGGTGAAAACCTTGTTAGCTCTTGCTGCTAAACTAGGCTGGTCCTTATCACAGTTGGATATTTCTAATGCTTTCTTAAATGGTGATCTAAAAGAGGAGATCTATATGCACTTACCTCCTGGATATGTTCCTAAGCAAGGTGAAACATTGCCTCCTAATGCGGTTTGTAAACTCAACAAGTCTTTATATGGCTTAAAACAAGCCTCTCGTCAGTGGTATATGAAATTTGCAGAGACACTGCAACATCTTGGTTTTGGAAAACATCATTCAGATTATACTCTTTTCACCAAAGTGACAGGTTCTGCTTTTCTCATGGTCTTGGTTTATGTCGATGATATTATAATATCAAGCAATGATGATGATGTTGCAGCAACTCTCAAGTCACAATTGCAGTCTTTTTTCAAACTTCGTGATCTTGGACCTGCTCAATACTTCCTAGGCCTTGAAATTGCTCGGTCTTCTTCAGGTATCTCACTATGCCAACGCAAGTATGCTCTTGAATTGTTAGATTCAGCTGGATTACTTGCTTCTAAGCCATCATCTATACCTATGGAGCCAAATCAACCTCTGGATAAGGATGTTGGAGAGCTTATTGATAATCCGGAATCATACAGAAGTATTATGGGAAAATTGATCTATTTGACCATTACAAGGCCAGATATTTGTTTTGATGTGGGCAAGCTAGCTCAGTTTACTGCTTCTCCTCGGAAACCTCACTATACAGCGGTTCACAAACTTCTTCGTTACATCAAGGGTACAGTGGGACAAGGACTTTTCTACTCATCAGATCCTAACATGGAATTGACAGCGTTTGCTGATTCTGATTTCAGTACATGTAATGATTCTCGCCGATCAGTCTCTGGTTACTGTGTGTTCCTTGGTGATTCTCTTATCTCGTGCAAATCTAAGAAGCAAGATATTGTGTCTCGTTCTTCTGCGGAGGCTGAGTACAGAGCAATGGCTCTTGCAGTTTGTGAGATTGTTTGGCTTCGCAGTTTACTAGAAGATTTACGTGTTCCAGTTCAGACTCCTACTGTTCTATACTGCGATAATCAGGCAGCTATACACATTGGTAACAACCATGTGTTTCATGAACGTACGAAACATATCGGCAGGGATTGTCACACTGTTCGTGACCGTGTGACAGAAGGAACACTCAAATTAAGTCATGTTCGCAGTGAATGTCAGATTGCAGATATTCTTACCAAACCGCTTTATCCTGGCATCTTTCGCAGTTTACGGAGTAAGCTTGGCATTTCCAATTTATTCATGCCAGCTTAAGGGGGGATATTACACTACATGAGGATTTACAGAGCATGATACATAAAACAGAGCACTTAACAGTGATATTAACAGTGTTACTTGTATATAACGGAATTGATAGTTAGACGTTAAACATACATGTAAATGCCTATATATACTGTTGTACAGATCAACATTATCTAAAATGAGAATATCAGAAAGTTTATTAAACTCTAATAGGAACCTAATGGTAGAAGAGTGTTGAATTTGAGGCATCAAGGATAGGGAGATCTTGCCGAATTTGGGTGATCTTCAAGTGAATTCCTTCCGGAGGTAGAAGAGTATTGAATGTTGTATTACCTCTTTACTGAAATAATAACCCATTTTTCGGTCTTATCATCACAAAATAAAAATACGAACTTTAGTAGTCCACCTTCTTGCTAATAAAAGTTATCACTTTCGAATCGGATTTTTTTTGAGAAAATATCGAGAGAGAATAGGAATAAGTACTACATGACTACTTCTACAATTTTAGCTGCCCATCTTTCGCTTTCTCCTCCATGCAATGTAATAGTTACACTTCACACATATTACCCGTGAGATTTGATGGACCCTTCATCAACCCGATTTTGATGTGAGTTATGTGACTTCACAATTCCAACTTCCCAATGAAAAGCATATAATTTTGTCGAATAAATATCACATTCAAAAAAAAAAAAAAAACTGCGATACAAAAGATCCTCAATGTCAACTTAATCACCCATTCTATCTACTAATTACTTTCAAAATATATATCTAGCAATTAAAATTTGATTATGCTAATTTTCTTCTTTAAAGACGATTCCATAATTTTCTACTCAAAACATGATCTAATTATTTTCCATATTACATGTGACTTTGAATTTCCACGCCAGCAAGAGTAATTCCCTCCAAAAACATGACTAAGATGTTTCACCAATTCTGATTTTGTAAAGGTTCATCAATCAGTGCGAGTATCAGAGTATGTAAATTTTCCGCCGAAAAACAGTATTTTCATACTTTGTCACCATAAAATTCTATTATTTCCCAAAAAACTGACTCCAATTTTTATTTTTCGAATACACAAGTTCAAAACATCGTTTTTGGCTAGAAAATTGAGAGAATAATTTTTTTTTGGGAAAGTTGCATAATCAGTAGGTTGTGCGGCGATGCATTTCAAAGTAGTTGAAATAAGATGTTACATAACATAACTCTTCCAAAACTGTGGCCACTATCGTTGAAAAAATTGATAGAAGAATTCGGCAAGACTCTTATCTCGATTGTTTGCCCATTCCTAGCTCATTTCACTTCATAGTTGATTTTCTCTAATCTCATCTTGGCTTTTTGAATTATTTTGGCCAAAGAATGAATGTCCTAACCTCTAGAGCTTTTGTAATTAACTCGCTCCCTTTTTTGGTAATATAAATTTACACTAAATCAAATTCCTTTTTTGTATATCCATGAATTCGGCAAAAAAAAATATATTGCATCATTTTTACAAAAATTGCAAAACCATGGTCTTGCAATCACGTTTATTCCATGATATATTGATATTATATATATATATATATATATATATATATATACTCACGTTTTTTTCTCTCACAATTAAAGTTAATTAATGAAAAGTACAGAATAATAACAAAGATAATACAACTAGTGTATACATATATTAGTACCCATTTTTTTCAACTTGCTTCCAAAGCGTTTTAATATTAAGAACATATATAGTAATCACATCACGCAAAAATATGTCATCATTCATGATATTAACCAGTCGCATCGCTACCAAAAATCACATCTCTGACATACTCGAATTACTATCAAACTTGAATTATATTGCCATTTGGGACCTAAGATTCAGAGGACCATCTTTCCCAATTACATTTATTAATGGTCCAAAGAGGTCCATATGAGTAATCCAAAATACCGCATGTCCAACCATTTTCAACTTAGCTTGCAGAAAACGTATTACATTGCCAACAAAACAATTACCATAATTTTGTTACCTAAAGATAAACTTATTTTCCAAGCAACAACCATAATTTTGTTACCATAATTCTAGATATCATATGTTATAAACAAGAAAAAACTAGTCTGATTTTACGAATATGAGTCAGAAAAATGGAAATCCAAGAGCATGATCAAGGAAATTTGAAAACCGAATGTTGTTATGAATCTCGTGTATTTTCTTATTAATGAATGAGGTTACAACTTATATATATACACAATAAAGGAGACAAATCCCAATTGGACTAGGAAACCCTAAAGCCCAAAGCCCACTAAGACTAACATAAACCGTCATTGGGCGAATCTTCTAGAAGATAGACATGGGTTTTCTAGAACATGGACATGGGCCACGGTTATGGAGTCCATCCGTAATGTGGTTTACAACACTCCCCCTTGGATGACATAACCGTGTAGATGCCAAAGGATCTTTGTAATGCGCTTGGGGATGCTGCCTCATTAAAACCTTACCAGGAAAACCCATTGAGACAAAATCACGGTGAAGGAAAAAGAGTACAACACGCATTACTCCTCCTGTTTTGGTCATCCCTGCAAGTCCTTAAGTCTCCGCATTCTAATTTGATGCGTGAGCTTCCTTAATGTTGTTGTCGGTAGTGCTTTAGTGAAGAGATCGGCTGAGTTGTTGCTTGAACGAACTTGCACCACTTGAACTTCACCATCCTTTTGTAGGTCATGCGTGAAGAAGAACTTAGGTAGAATGTGCTTTGTCCGATCTCCCTTGATGTAGCCGTCCTTGAGCTGAGCGATACATGGCTACGTTGTCTCCACATATGATGGTCTTTGATGTTGTAGTAGCTGCGCCTTGAAGAAGGCTGCCTACGTACCCTTGGAAGGGATCAAGCCACACGTAGTTCCTATTTATTGACCATGCCATAATCTGATCTTACCTGCATCAGCAAAACAAACTAAACCAAGGCAAACTAGACCCTTTTTTTGGTTAGATCAGTATAGAATAAACCCAAATAAACAAAGTAGGAAGAATAAACTTTAAAATTTAACCAAACCTTCCTTCAAACCTTTCCAGTGCCTTTGGGTTGATCATGAACTAAATTTAGACAAAGGAGGTTCACAGCAAAACATATGTCTGGTCTAGTGTGGCTAGCCAAGTACATTAACGTTCCTATGGCACTGAGGTATGGCAGTTCAGGACCGAGAACTTCTTCCTCGTCCTTCTTTGGACCGAATGGATCACTATCCAATCCAAGGCTTCTCACCATCATTGGGCCTGGTCAATGGGCGGGCCTGGTCCTTATTAAATATCCTTGAGTACTTTTCAGTATATGCCTTTTGATGCACAAGGATTCCATTATTCATGTACTCAGGTTGTAATCTCAAACAGAACTTAATTATTGCCTAGGTCTTTCTTTTAGATATACTCAACTGTTTGGTCGATTACCCAGAGGTTTAAATTATTCATATACACTGCTATGATTACAAATCTTTTGTTTGCAAACCTCTTTATGAAAATACATGGACTAATGGGATCATTTATAACATTCCATACGCCCATTTGGTCTAAGTCCATGAAAGGATTTGTCCAGCCTTATGCAGTGATATTCTCGAGAATCTTTCTTATCTTTGAGCTCAATACCCTCTGGTAATCTCATATATATTATCCAGTAGACTTATATAAATATGCAGGCATTACATCCATTAGCCGCAAATCAAGTCTTTCTCTTTTATATAGCAAGAATTAGCAAAATTTAAATGTCTTAGCATCCACCACAGGGGAGTATGTTTCTTCATAATCTATCCCCGGTCTTTGTGAGAATCCTTGTGCTATAAGCCGTTCCTTATATCTCACGATTTCATTATTCTCATTTCTCTTCTTCACAAAGACCCATTTGTGTCCTACTGGTTTTTACATCGAATGGTGTCCTTAAGGTCGGACCAAACTCATTCCTTTTCTTAATGATTCTTAGCTCCACGTTTTATGGTCTCACTACAAGAAATATGCACATTGTTAGCGCGGAAAATATGCTATCATACATATAAGATAGCGAATTCACTAATGCTATGACATCGGCAGCTATAATAGGTTTTTGACATACGATAGCATTTTTTTTAATGCTATGATATATACAGATACTATGGCAAAATTACAACGCTGTAATTAAATCTTATATAGCACCTGCATTTTGTTATCATAGGGCATTCTACAATAGCAAGTCTATACTGCGATTATTTTAAGCTATTTCCATATATAATTATTATATATGAATCCTATTTTGCAAAATAAATTTAATTGGATTTATAATATAATGTTTATATTTCATAAATCATCAACATACATAACAATATTATTACATTATCCATTTTAACATAACATCATACCAAGTTTTAAACAAAATAAAGCTAACATTCTAAAGACAACTTCAATCTCATCCCCTCTATGTGCGTTGCCTTCCCATTAGCTTGCTCTTTCTCTCCTTCAAAGAACTTAGGTTGTCTCATTCCAAGCAATTCTCACTTCACTGCCTTCTCCAAAGCAACAATAGTCCTAAAAATGCAGTACAATAGACAAGCTTATTAGCTTCAAATTTCCTTAAAATGCAGGGTATATCTACTAAATAATTTGAACTGATCAGCTGCTAACCTTATGAAAACACGAGAAATCAAAGAGTATTAGTTTACCTTGAAGTCTTGATGCCGAAAGGAAAGCTTGTGGATAGCCTGAATTAGTTTGGAACTGAAATTGCCAAAACCAAAACCATCAAGAGTAACAAAGACGAAGTAAAGTAAATAACCTTCTAATTTTTATGAAGAAGGTTGGATCTCATTCTGTTTTGCTTGATCAAGCTTTGCGATAGCCGAATATGATAGTTCCATCATGTTATCATTGTCTCTATTTTCTTGAAGTATCAAGGGATAAGAATTCCAATCTCATTTACTAGGCAAATATTTAATAAAATAAGCATTAAGATTCATAAAGAAAACGAACCTGTCCTTATTGACCAGTTTCATTGCTCACATGGGAATTAAACTAGCCTTGACCAAAAGAATTTGTAATCCATACTTCTTCATCCTCCTCAAGAACAAGAGATGAAAACTTTCAACAATGTTGAGTATCCATCTGTGATACAAAATTGCTGCAAGAAACATAGTTTTGATATCCAAAATCAAATAAGAATTAACGATTACTCAAAAGATGAGCAAAATAAGAGAAACAGAGAGATCAAACAAATCACTAACCATTTAAAATCTGCAAACACATAGATGAATAAAGCATGTATCCTCCACTTAGACTAGCCCATTCACCTTCTCATTTACAAGCAAACACTCTTACTAACCAATTTCATTCTAACTTCTCAATTCCAGACCTAGAAACTAAACCAACCATCATCATTACGATTACTCAAAAGATGAGCAAAATAAGAGAAACAGAGAGATCAAACAAATCACTAACCATTTAAAATCTGCAAACACATAGATGAATAAAGCATGTATCCTCCACTTAGACTAGCCCATTCACCTTCTCATTTACAAGCAAACACTCTTACTAACCAATTTCATTCTAACTTCTCAATTCCAGACCTAGAAACTAAACCAACCATCATCATTACTCATGTTCTGTCTCGAAGCAAAGGACATATACATTACCGTTTATATTTCCGATGTAGCAGAGACAACATTCAAGTATGGAATATCGTCGAACACTTGGCGTGCTAGACATGGCAGATTTGAATCCACGAATACAACCAGCTTGGGAACATAATCATACTCGAGCAAGGATAACTCTGATTTCTTTGTTTTACTACACTCAAATCGTCAACTAATTCTCCTTGTTCTTCCTCTCAACCCTTCTTCATCTTTTCTTCTCCAAACTCTCACGTTCTTGCTTTAGCCCTTGTTGCTTCTCCTGTTCTCCATCATCAGATTCGTCATGCTTTTCTGATTCTTTATCAGTAAACTCTGTTGCTGACGAGACCTATGAGAGTAAGATTTCATCCGCAGAGTTTTACCGAAAGTAAGAGAAACTAAAGACCAACCTTGCTTTTAGATCTGTGTGGGAAATAGGAGATGTTTACCCCAGAACTCCATTGTCGTAAGAGGTTATGACCTGAAGGCGACGATGCGTCGAAGAAGATGGTTTTAGAAGAAGATTAGGCTTCTTATAACCACAAAGATTTTTGGGAGGAGAGACGACGGCGTAAAGGCCATTGTTACTTAGAGCGGTGATGAAGTCGTGTTCCCAAGAAGAAGAAGAAGAAGAAGAAGAAGAAGAAGAAGAAGAAAATTGGATTTGGACCTTGGATGATTGGTATGGAGCAGATCTGGATTTCTGATTAGGGTTGTTGCAAATGTTGATTTGGGTTTTATGTTTTTTTTTATGTTTTTTTTCTTTGTAGTAATATTTGAAAAAATAGTGGCGGTCACATGCGAAATTTTAAGTTTTCGTTCTAATTTCGCTAAGTGTTGGTGGTCAAAGTGATTTTAGTTTTGATCTGAATTTTAATTTTTTATTTTGCTATTACAAGGCTTAGCATTGTTGAAATGCTATGATATTGTTATCAAATCCCGAACACATCTTTAATAGCAAATACGAAAACTGTGCTATCCTAATATGCTATGAATGCTCATATTTCTTGTAGTGTCTTGTACCATTTAATCAATCAAGTCTTTGAGTGCACTCTAGTATAGACGTGGGCTCCTGATCCTCATTTATATTCAAAAATTCAAGTGCTACCTTGCATGCAAAATCATCTTATGTCGACATTTTTTATATGTTCCATTATGTTCCAGACATGATATAATCGATTTGAGATTTATTATGGTCAGGACCTTTAATACTATGCAGCTTGGCGTCCCAAGCTACATTATATGGTACCTGTACCTTAGAGCCGGCCGACCTTATCTCCATGTCTGGGATGGTTTCCTTAGTAACCTCGGATTCCTATTGCATCTTTCTTTAATTTCCGAGGGTTTTTATCATTGGAACTTATTGGTCTACCACGTTTCTTACGTTGTCTAGACTCTGTAGCAACTTGATTGTGTTCCTTGTGAACATCAATTACGTACTGGTGCATTACAAGCTGGTATGTACGCTTTTATAACTCTCTTTAGGTCATCAAAGGAATCTGGCAATTCATTAGCTAGCTTTTGCAAATTTATTATCTTATGGACCTCTGAATCACACATCAGAGTCCAAGGATCTTGCCAATTTAAGGATGTTTGATTCCATGATATTTCTTTGACCAACTTGTTCGTCTCTCCACCTATAGTAGGAAATTCAGATTCATTAAAATGACAATCTGCGTATCTATCCTTAAATAGATCACCCATGGTTGGCTTTAGATACTTAATAATGGTGGGAGAATCAAATCCAACATATATTCCCATCCTCCTTTTAGGTCCCATCTTTGTTCTATGTGGTGGAGCAATCGGTACATATACGGCACACCCGAATGTCTTTAGATGGGATATGTCTAGCTCATGACCCGTTAATAATTGGGATGGCGAATATTTATGTTCACTAGATGGCCTTATGCGTATAAGCTCTGATGCATGTAAAACAGCATGTCCCCAAGCGGCTACTAGAAGCTTCGACCTCATGAGTAATGGTCGAGCTATCAACTAAATTCGTTTAATGAAGGATTCCGCTAATCCGTTCTAAGTATGTACGGGATGTTCCACACTTACCCCCATGGACATACAGTAGTCATTAAACGCTTGGGACATGAATTCACCGGCATTATCTAGACGTATAGTCTTAAGCGGAAAATCTGGAAAATGAGCTCTCAGTCTTATGATCTGGGCCATGCGGTATTTAAGACCGAATCATGCAATCGATTTTAGACTAGTCTATGCGGTATTTAAGACTGAACCATGCGACTATCTTGTCTATGCATCAATGAGGACCATGAAATATCTAAATGTCCCACATGGTGGGTGTATTGGTCCACATATATCCCCTTGTATCCTTTCCAGAAAATTTAATGTCTCTTTATTTATCTTTGCCGGTGATGGCCTTATAATGAGTTTTCCTTGTGAACATGCTTCACACGTGAGATTCTTAGGGATAACTCTTTTCTCTTTTAGGGTGTGCCCCTTTGAATTTATCATAAGCTTACGCATCATACTATGACCCGGATGGCCAAGCCGGTCATGCCATAAAGTGAACTTTTCGTTGGACTCTTTCATTGCCATATTAGCTTCTATCATATTGATTTTAGCATAGTAGAGACCAGTGTATAATGCGGGTATAGTCTCTAGGACTTTCTTATGTCCTTTGGTGATCTCAATTATATTTAGGAATTCTTTGTTCCCTTCACCCTTTGTTTCAATATGGAAACCATTCAATCTTATTTCTTTGAAACTCCATAAGCTCCTCTTTGAGCTGGGTGAATATAAGGCATCGCTTAGTTCAAGATGCGTGCCATTTGGTAATAGAATATGGGCTTGGCCGTAGCCCTCAATAAGATTTGCTATACCCGCTATAGTGCTAATATTGGCATTTTTCATTATGAGATTTAGGAAAATATCTCTTATCTTTTGTCTGGCTCCACTATCCACCACAAATATGTTCTTGTCCTCGGCCATTTCTTATATGGACAAGAATCATGTTTTAAACATAAAATAATATAAAATAAATTCAAGGAAATAACAATCAATGAAAACATAAAATGCAAAGAAAACATAGAGGTTTTGATGTCGAACTCAGATTTATCAACTTGATTCTTTTAGGCAATCAGAAGTCTCATACTCTATTAGATCATCTTGATCATGTTCACCATTTTTATATACCAAATGGGCTTTAGGATTCTTCCTTTTCACACTCTCTTGATAGAGGTCACAACGATGTTTGGAAGTCCTACATATCTTAGCCCAATGGTTCCCCATTCCACATCTATGGCATACTCATTTGGTCGAGTGTTGTGGTTTGGAAATACCACATCGTCCTCGCCCTCGACCACAGCCGGAATTGGGTCTACATCCACGGTTATAGTGGTTCCCACGGCCGGATGAGTTATAGTGGCCACAACCACGTCCTTTCCATCCACTACGGTTACGGCCGTGTGGTCTATTACTTTAGACGTGGTTAGATTCTTTGGATTCTTTCTTATCCTTTGCGGCCTTATTGGCATCAGGTAATGGGGTTAATCTATGAGGTCGTAATTCACTGTTTTTATCAGTAAGTCGTTATTTTGCTCATCTAGCAATAGACTCATCCACGGACTTATAGTCCTGGATTATGAGACTCTCAATAAGATGGTGGCTAATATTGTCTTGTATCTATCTTTCTCTCTTGGCATTATTGCCTTATTAGATACATTCACAAAGTCCTTTTGACTTTTAGGATAATCTTAGTATCCATTGCCCATTTTAAATAATTATCTCCTAAGAGATTTAGGGCAGTAAAATACAAGTTGTAATTCAACATCTACAAGGAAAAGTTTTGAGTCAAAATCATGTAATCGTTAGTGTCATGCGGTATTTGAGACCGAACCATGAATCGATTTACTTAGGGATTTGACTTTCCTCTTTTGCTTAGGATTAGATTTCCTCTTTTGCTTAGGATTAGATTTCCTCTTTTAATTAGGGTTAACTATTCCTTTTCCTTTTAGGATTTACTTTCCTCTTTACTCTAGGATTAATTTTCCTATTTCACTTATGATTTTAGATTTTTAAGATTTCCTATTTTATTTAGGATTTAGAAGATTTCTATTTCCTAAGGTTTTCCTATCTTGAATAGGATTTATGAATTTCCTAATTTAATTAGGATTTAGAGTATTTTAGAATTTTCTATTTACAATAGGATTTAGGATTTTATTTAGGTTTTCCTGCTTTCTTTAGGATTTAGCTTTTCCTATTTAGAATAGGATTTACGGTTTTTCAGATTTCCTATTTTAATTAGGATTTTAGGGTTTTACTATTTTCTTTAGGATTATCTTTTCTAAGGTTTCTAGGGTTCATGCGATTTTAGTTTTAGGGTTTCTAACAACTTATGCATGTAATCAATCAATAAAACAATAAATCTAACAACCTAAACAACCTCAATCAATCGATTATATTTTAGGGTTTTAGGTTTCCAATTCGATTTAGGGTTTTAAAAGTTTCGGCCATGGCGAGTTTGAGAAATTTTCTAGCAACTTAAACGAGTCAAGCAATCGGATCATCCAAGGAAATAACAATCGCTTATCAAACAAGGTTCGTTTTTAGAGTTTCTCTTTGCTTAACTTTCAAGTTCGATTGTTGGTTCTTTAGCTTTAGGGTTTTGATGTTACCTTTCACCTTATGGGGTTGTACGGACTAGAACCGGGAGCTAAAAACCTCGGTTATCAACTTGTCACGAGCGTATGGTCTTTGGAAGGAATCGCCGAGCAAAGGAGAAAGCAAACGGACGGACGAGCTAGCTAGGGTTTTCAAAACAAATCGGCGCACACTGTATCTGTGCGTGAGGGCGCGTCGGTGCTCAGATCGACAAGCTGTTTGCACTGATAGATTCGTCTCGGCGAGGGCTTCAATTTGATATTTTGCTCGTTTTCTGGGTCCTCACGATGTGAGAGAACGACTTCTTTGAAGTTCCGAGGCAGATTTCTTTGCGTTTTAGGGGTTTGATGGAGATAGAGAGATCGTGAGATTAGGGTTTATGTGTCAGATCTTTAGCTAAGGGATTTAGAGGCTATCGTGCTGATAACGTGTTATGAATCTCGTGTATTTTCTTATTAATGAATGAGGTTACAACTTATATATATATACAATAAGGGAGACAAATCCCAATTGGACTAGGAAACCCTAAAGCCCAAAGCCCACTAAAACTAACATAAACCGTCATTGGGCGAATCTTCTAGAAGATAGACATGGGCCTTCTAGAACATGGACATGGGCCTTCTAGAACATGGACATGGGCCACGGTTATGGAGTCCATCCGTAATGTGGTTTACAACAAATGTAACATTCTTTAGGAATTTCTGTATTTCTTGTTAGGTTAATCGTAATTCCTTAGCCTTGATTCACATCACTATTATTTGATATTAATTAGTATCAAAATACTTGAATTA